TATCTTTGTAGCCTTAGTTGATCATGTACGTCGACACCCCCCATGAGCGTCTGATAGTTTTTTTACCACACGAGGACACACCACTTCTTGCTGTTCTCCAGTCAACTTGTCGCGGCGCACAATGCGGTCCATTTTTATGCTGCCACCCGTGCTCAACCTATGCACCATCCGCGTATCCCACCACCACAAACACCTCAAGCTCGGAGCGTGAAGCGCATGTGCTGTGATGAACGTCCCTCGTGCAATGTTTGCAGATCGATTTTTTAGGATTTTAGGAGGCCTCTTTTCACCCTTTTCCTTCTTCGGGAAGAGCTCTACACTCAGTCCTAGTCGGTCAGAGCGCACGGTACCAATAGAATGGAATCCCATCACCAGTAACTCCATAGTCAGCGCCACAGACGAGTAGTAATTGTCCATGACAACAAGTCGCATTGTTTCATCTGAAGGAGCTTTCGGTCCGAATTTTGCGGGGGGGGGGGGGGCTACCCACAGCAGCTGACCCTGTCATCTCGTCGGTCCAGCTTGAGACTCCTGCTCGTTCCTTCTTACCGCAGTAGACTTCGAAACTATTGCATACAGCTTTGCGTTCATGTCAGATCGGACCATACACGATAAGATCACTTAGCAGTCGAAACAAAAATGTGGGCGTGGCCAAAGACACGCCTAATACTTACCGGATGCAGTTTGCCAACTTAGCGCAGCAGAGCTTAAATGGTTTAGTGCCTCATTTGTGGGGCTTGTCCTTCATGAAGACACGCATTCGGTTGAAAGTAGATCTCGACGGTAGCATTGCTTCATCAAAGACCATGATGGCATGGGCCGTTCAGCCCGCAGCAAAACACGATTGCAGTGCTGCTATTACCGGTGGTAACTTCCAAGCACGGTCAGTGGAGGCACGCTCGTCGCCTTTTATGCTGAAGTGAAGGTTACGCGACACATGCATGAAGCGATCACACGTCATGAAGTGCCCAAAGCAACCGCGGGGAATGGCCCCTTTATCGGTCGTTTTCCAATGGTTTGCCAGCTTTTCCTTGTTTGGGGTTATTGATCGAGCGATCAAGAGGCCGATACATTTACACAGATCTCTAGCGGTGATGGACGGTGCTTTCAGCACGTCTTCTCCAATCCTTTCTTGCGACTTTCTCTTGAACTCGGGGTGTTTCCGCTCTCGCGCCACTTGCTTTGCATACAGCCCCTTCACGTGTTCGTCAAACTTCTTTTCAAAATATTTATTCGGCTCAGCAGCAATTGATTTCCATAGTTCAGGCTGTACAAAAACCGATAGCTTCAGAAGGTGTTGCGGCAGCTCGTAAATCCTTAGAGGCTGTCCCAGACTGACCGCTGCACAGATTCGAATAAACATCTTGCATTGTGCCTACCGGTCGGGTTTCGTATAGATCCATCCGGTGGTCGTACGGTGTGTGCATCACTTGATTCGACCAGCCCGTTGCCGACATCGCTCTCAAAAAATCATTTGACACTGTTCTGGTCGAGATGTTTGCCAAACCACCAGCGGCCGATATGAAGTCATCATCAAATCTCCGCTCGGAGGGACAGGAAGATCCACGTCCACAGCGTCCAGGTCATCCTCAGACGTCTTGTCGTCTTCTCCGTCATCGTTCGGCAGCCGACTCGAGAACTGCAAATTTTAGTGGAGCTTCGCCAACTTGGTTGACATTGATACATAAAAGACACGTTAGTGGCAAGCATTATCGTGTATGTACATGATACAATATATCAGCACCTTCAACACGTGGTGCATCAGCCTCATTGACACGACTGCTCCCTTGAATGTCAGAGTTATTACGTCGTTCGTCGCCGGTTTCTGACAAGACGCTGTCATTTTCAGCTTCGTTAAAGGCAGTGTCGAGATTGCGCCGGCCTACAAGATAGTGGAGCCATACACGACTTGAAAAACAGATAGCATGTACATACACGTCAGGTACACTCACCAGCGACAGCTTCCTCTTCGTCAGAAGCTGTTTCTTCAAACGCCATGGAGTGCGGAGACACTGCCCAAGTTGCATCGCCATTTGGAACGGACACAGACGTATGACGCGGGCACGCCTTGGCGTTGCTGGAGTACCCTGTAGTGCTCCGGCGATATGCTTTGGAGGGATACAAGCTATTTCAAAAAGACACGATTAGTCTCAAGAATAAAGTGTATATACAAGGCGGCTCGTGTAGCGGGCCAGGTATTTACTCCGTAACTTGCTTACACAATAGTGTTGAGGAAGCTCGCGATATGACGAATTGAGTCTTAAATTTAAGATATAATCAATTCTGAGTTTATTTTAGGACCAAGGCCACAGCCCTGACCACTTCAATACACGTCATAGTTCAATTGGCTAATAGTGGGTCTGGCTCCCATATATCAGCCAATGGAATGTCAGCATTTCAGCACACGCTAGTCGTATGCTGATGCGCCTACTTATGCTAAGAAAACTACCTACCGGATTCCTCCGCTTTTTACTGACAGTCATGTTTGGCTACATTTTGATAGGAAAATTGTGTACAAACAGTAATGTCTGCCGCGCGTTGTAAATCATAAAACGTGAATTAATTGAGCAGCTCATCGCAGAGCGGACTGCTTTCAATTGTGTCGTGATCGTCTCCACAGCACCAATTCTATTGTCTACAAGACTAAGGCTAGCTAGTTCAGCGATCACCTCACTTGCTACCACGTCTACATCTTCTATGCCGAGTCCGGTTTTTTTGTAGCCCGCTTTTACCGTCTCTTCACTTAACTCCGCCCACGTTTGGCAAACCCAATCGATGTCACTGCGCTTTTGCCGCCACTGATAGATAAGATTGCGCCGCTGTTCGTGCGCATGCTCATCTATGCCGCTATAGAATGTTTTTATAACGGCAGAGATATCTCCACACTGGTCCCATGCGTACAGGGCCGCCAGCTTTTCCGCTGCTGTGATGGCGGTGCGCCTGCGTATTGGTTGCATCCCGTGGATTGGGAAATGTCAGGTGCCTAGCCCGTTTTTGTGTTGTCAGTAACAAGTGGAGGATTTCGATACAGTGATTCGATTGGCTATAATTGAGTGTCAGTAATAAGTGATCGTCAGTTAAAAGCGGGGGAAGCCGGTACTTATATAATGGAGAGGCCCATTACATTGCCCTCTCATAAAGTTACACTTACGCAACATAAGCGCGGACGAAGAACACACCTGGGACGCCAGCGGAGACGATAGCGGCGGCGGCGACGATGCTCGCGACACCAAGACACTGATGCCTCAGCTGGTGGGCGGCCACGCTCAACGACGAGCGTGCTCCTGTAACCTCGAGCGACAACGTGGGAGATCGCCGGAATCGGTGTCGATGTCGACGCTGGTGAATTTCGACGTGGTCTGGCGAGGATCTATTGAGGCAGCGTTTCGATCACGTGGTCATTCCCGCGACCTCGTTTAGAGTCTTCGACGCGTAGTCCGAGTTCGTAGCACTGCTAGATCTCGCGCAGTACACGAGATTTCGATTACCACCGAGAGCACGTCGGCAGGTGCACGTTCAGCAGCCGTTTTTATCCGGAGAGGACGCATCACGCAGAACCAAGAGGCACTGCTGACAACGTGGAACATCCACGACGCCCAAGCGCCCATGGCGGTGAATCCACGGGAAACACGATGACATAACACCCGCCGCTCGAGACTTTGAACACCAACAACGCGTGAAGCTTCGCTCAGTTGGCTGAGCGATGAGTTGCAAAGAAGATTGCGACGCTGGAACACGGAGGTTTGCAGCTTGGACAACATTCGCAATGCTGCGAGCGACAGGAAGATGGGAGACATGCTTAGGCTGTTGGGAGCTAGCGACTTGCTCACGTCCTGTCGACTCACTCACTCAATATTTTACTCACTCTATCTTTCGCTCGGCTCAATCACCGAGTGGTTCAGTGGTACATCGGTGAGCTCACGCGCCGATGGTCACTGGTTCGACCTCAGAGCCGACTCCAAATATCTTCTTAGCTACTGCGGTGACCATCTCCGTGCACACGCAGAGACAGAGACAGCTCACCATGAGCAGCGCTCACAGTCGTTCCGACCTGTGGTCAGGATCACTTGTTCTCACGTCACGCCGTGACTACGGCTTCCAGACGCGGAACCCTACCGAAGCGGCCCGCCTCGCAGCGCAGCAGCCGCTGCACACGTACACGTGTGGGCCTGCGGCTCGACTGCTGATAAGAAAGTGCAGCGGCACCGGATCCGAGAGCGATACTTGACTCCACAAGTCTCAATTCCTCGGGGGTATCAGGCGCACCTGCAAATGCAGCGCAATCGCCAAACGGTTCCTTCCATGCGAACCGTTCCGGTTGTTCTCAGCCCTGGAGCCCCAGCGTGCTTACGAAGCACAATTTTGAAGCTGAGTGGAGAGAGCTCGACGGCTCACCTCATATAATGATCTTCGAGCAAGTTTCTCTGAAATCGATATTCGTCTTGAGAGACGTTTGCGCTTAGACTTCGCTAAGTCGAAAGCACGCCGTCAACTCTCGGGACCCCGTCCCCATCACCACGAGGCGCCACCGCCTCCCGCTCATGCTGCGCTTGAGCGACCGACCGACAGGTCGGTTGCTGAGCTCAGGCGCCGACCAGTGGCTGTAACAGCCGGCTCGTGGGAATGAGCGGCGCTCTACGTCCATCTTGGCACCGGCTCCGAACGCGCGTCCTCATCCTACGCGGCACCTCCAGCTGAAGCAGCTCCACGCTGCTCCACAACACAGCCTTCCTGACCTCGGGAGTCGCTTCCTCCACCTCCACGATCTCCACCTTAGCGTATTTTGCCAAAACCATCGCCTCTTACGTCGCTTCGGTCTCCACCGCAGTCACAATATCAATCACAGTCAATCTCTGTACGGACAGCTCAGTAATACTTTTTAAGTGCAGACGCGAGGTAACACACGCCAGCACTGTCAAACAACGCGCAGTCGACGTCCAGCTCGGCTATCGCCAACAGCGCCTGCTCTCCACACCATTCACCGCTGCCGCCACCCCGCTATGCCGACGGAGGACTTGGTGGTCCCCAGAAGCGTTGCTCCGCGATTGCCTCGAAACAGCTATATCCCGAATCTAATCGGAAGCGGCGACAATATGTGGTATGTAGGTGGGAGGGCTGATACGCGACGGAGGTGACCGACTTCTGCGTTCTCCACAACGTTTGTCTTTGTCAGCACGTGTCAATCGCCACCAAGCCATACATGTGCCCAAAACAAACGTGGACCTGCCGGGAGAAGTATCATCGATTTTACCTTCCGCGAATCCTGTTCTCGTCAGAAGGCAAAGTGCGCATGAGCTCACACCTGTACAAGCCGAAGCATGAGACCATGAATCAGCGCAATTTGAGCCCCGGAGAAGATGTAGTGTCTGGAACCCGCCAAAGCGTTGTGCGCTTGATCAACTTGTCGATATTAGCAAGTTCGTAAACATTTATAAGCTAGTATGGTAATTACAGAAACCTAAAAGTGTCGAAGTGTGAAGTTGTCTTGATTAAATTAAAAAGAAATTCGAATATCAATAACTTTGGAATGAACGATAAACGTATGCACGCTGTGGCTCGGCTTTCCAGCTACATACAATGTCAGCCTCCTTGAAAAACTCAAAGGAAGAGCAAAACGCATCAAAACAAGGTTCGCGGTGACGTGGGCATATGGGAGCTGTGCAAATGACGTGACGCACTCGAGGCAGCCCTCCAAGTTCACACTTCACGAACTAGGTGGTGACACTCTCGAACAAAATGTTGTTCCAAAAGACAAGGTTGCTTGTGCGTACGACTCCACCCGCGAGAAGGAAAGCCCAGTGATGTTCTTCCAAACGCGATCTACTCGTTCATCTATACGTCGGGCATGCGGGCTCCTCGCAATCATATCCACGCCAACATTCTGCACGTCTGCGCGAACTTCGAATCCTATCCGTTGGTCGCAAGCACTACTTGAGCGACAACATTGCAAAGTCCAGCACTGATATAAAACAAATGTCACGTCCCTTGATGTCACAAGCTCTTGCAATAGTATCGTCACACCCGGCGGCAGCACTTCTCCGACATTCAGGTGAGAGATGCCGCGCGTGTAGGCGACCGCAGCACGTGGTACACCCGCAAAAATCGCAGTGACAGCTTTCTCCGCATTCAATGAGCACAGGACTGGTGCCGGTTGCATCGGAAGTACTGTCGTCGCCATATTCGTCCCCTGAAAATTTGAAAACGGAAGTTGCAGCTTTGGGAGCGTCGTTTCGGCGTCTGTTGGGCGTCTTCCTGGCGTCACGAATGTATGCCTAACCTCTAAGCGCAAAGCCGCGGCGTTTCGTGCATCTGCTCGTACAGCTCGTGCCACCGCAGCTTCTGGTGGTCGGGAGTATAGCTGCAAGGGCTGCTGCCCTACTTCCTTGAGATAATTCAGTCGCTGCTGGGCGTGCTGCTTCACGTGCTGCTCCAGTCCCTGCGTCAGATTTTGGTGGCGACCGCGGTCCTGTGAGCGATGCGGGCGGAGTAGCTTCTTCTTCTTGTGGCAGTAGCCGCCTTCGTGCACTGGACGAGATGTTCCGGAGCTGCTGCGTTACCGCAAGAGGGCGACCGCAGGGGCGATGAACTGGTGTGAACAATTTATTAGAAACTCTCGGCCCCATGCACGATACAGAGCCTGGAGAGGTTGACGATGCGCGACCGCCGTGTGTTTCGTGGATCTCATAATGTGGGCAACGTCACTCCACGGGATGTGCGTTCCTCCGTCGATGTATCCTTGGGCAAGATGGACAAGCGGTTTGTCGTCGTCGAACGTGAACGTTGTTCGCATGTCAGCACAAAAGCGGCAATGTCGGTGAATGTTGTGAGACTCCTGGTTTTCGTATGGAAATGACTGAGGTCCAGGCATTCGTTACAGGAGCAAAATCTGGACAGAGGGTGATGAGCGGTGTCATTTTTTGATTATGGTGACGCAATCTCGGATTTATGTGCATACATTGATACTTAATTGCATTTCTTTTATTGGTGTACGCCACATCTGGTAAAATATGTAGCGGGTAGGAAACCCATACCTTGACGTGATTGGTAGTTACAAAACACGGTGGTGCGTTAGCTGAGCTTCTGTCAACAGATGCATTTTGCTTCCCTTGGTAAACGATTCTCTCGCAGGTCTTGGCCAGGGGTTAATGGTAACTCCAAAATCGGTGAAGTTAATATTGTGAAAATATCACCTGTTGACCAGCTAATATAAAAATGTTACCTAATAATTTCTTCTGAGACAAAATGATATTACTAAATATCAACTTAATATTAGTCAGTACGATATTATATTTTTCAAACATTGCGTAATTTGTTTAAATCCACCAACCAGATGCTGTTAGCGTTCGACTAGCTGAAGTATGACTAATCAACCGTGAGGAGATGGAGTCCGGGACAGCTGTGAGAGTGACGGCAAGGTTGGCGTCGTGTGTTGGCACTGCTGAGAGCATTTATCTAGCGTTACAGGCTGCAGGTTTATTAGACGCACGATATGGACGAGGCTATCGGTAGATAACAAGAACAATTATCTTGATTTCGCTCTATCGACATTAAACAACTGCAAGCGTTTGCAGTTATCCATCTCGCTCGCCTTTATCTGTGTCACAGTAAAATACTAGAGCAAATACTCGTCAGTCTTAAAGCCTACTGCTGTTCTAGAACCTGTCCGAAAGAGTATTTGTGAGCTCTCGGGTGGCAATAATCGTACTTAAGTGGGTGAATTTAAAAATATCAGAGTAAATATTAAAATACTATATTATCTTTCGAAACTCTGAGCTACTATTACTTCGTAGTATTTAATTTCGAAAATAGTACTATTACTATTAAAAATATCATATGATATTTGGCGACCATGAAAGGAGGCAAATGCCCCTGTTGACCACGAAAGGGTTAAGGTAAAATGCCAGTTTAAGTCAGTGACAGTTGACCAACTTTAAAAGCTCGTAATTTTCAACGGACATTGAAGATGAGAATAAAACAACCACGACTGGAATTATCAGAATCTCGTCTTTCTTATTAACACATTCATTGAGTACTATTCGGCCATCAGTGGCGGTTTGAAATTACCATCTTTTTTCGTCGTGTGCCAGTTTAAGACAATTTTAAACCTGACTTGAGTATGGACAAGAGACTTTTATGTACGATCGTGCACGTACTGTTGAATTTCTGTAAATTCCGATTAGAACCCTCGTAAAATTATAACCTTGACTTGGATCAAAATAGATGGTGTATTAAAATCCGGAGTATTTAGAAGCTCACCTCGAACAGAACCGTATCACTGCTAGCAACTTCTGACTGCTGCTGCACTAGCACCAATTCGCTCTCCATGCCTTGTTCCTCTTCGTGTTTGTGCTCGTTCTCGTGGTTGTGATCGTGGTATTGCTTTTGATAAAGCTCTTGGTCCTGGTGGTGCATACCACTCGCTGTCGTTTTGTAAAAATCCTGTCTCTCTGCGATTTTCTTGTTCGCTTCGGCGCGTTTCGTTGAGAGGGCTGGTCAGGTTGCTGAAGCATCTCACGCGTTAACAATCTACCAGCCACTGTCTTGGTTTTTCTTTTCCTACTCTGCTTTTGTTGGCGAGCAGGCAGAAGCACGATATCGTGCTGTACTGTCTCCTTGTGTCGCAGCCAAGAAGCCTTTTTGACGGTAGCGGAAACTCCGTTGTGTTGGCATTGATGGAGCGGTGGTGTCTCATCCGTGTACTGCAGTAAATGCAAGCTTCCAGACGCGTCGAAGAAGCCTCTGGCCTGGCGCGTTTTTCTCTGTGGGAAAGCACGACATATAGCGAATGGGCAGGCGGTGAGCTGCTTTGACATTTAGCACAGTGCCTGGCGAAATGGGACGTTGGCACCTGCATCAAGTGGCGCGAAAAAGCGAACGATTCGCGCGCGTGCACCTGCGAAGAAACACTTGAGTGGGGAGGGTGCCGGAGAAGGAGCTCAGGGGAATGCGGAAGAGGGTACAGAGTGCAGCGAGGGATCACGTGATGAGTCCAAGACGAGCTCCGGCCGTCCGAAGCGATCCCGTCTGCTGTCAACCTTGTGATCACGGCTTGAGTAACTGATAGCGTCAGTCTATTTTGATTTAATTCACTATTGCAGAATGTCACGCAATACAGCCTTATTGCAGCTGTTGCTAGTGTTAGTATTATATACTCTCTCGCTCAGCATTGCACTTCGACGCCATGAGTCTACCACACACCAGGCTAGACTTTATTGAACGACCTACATGATTGCAGTACAAACGCGTATTGCTGACCACAATGATGCCCATACGTGATACCTCCTCCGGGGAATAGGTTTAGCTTGCGCCAGTCCACTATACACGATAGCAAAAAAATAGACTTTTGTTTTGGAGCCATTACCCCATATACACGTTAAATCAGCTAGGATTGAGGGAGATGGGGGGACCAGAAACCTTTCGGTCTCAAGGGGTTAACTAAGCGCAACTGATGGCTTGGTATTTGTACCAAAATATATCAGTGAGGCGGCAAATTTCTCAGTTGCTGCTTCGACGTCTACTCCCGCCGCTGCGGCCGCGGTTCCTTCCCCTGCCACTGCGGCTCCCGCTTTGACTGCCCCCAACACCGCCGATGGATCACCGGTTGTTGAGCTGTCCCCTAGTCGCAGCAGCAGATGAGCTCCTTGGAAAGTCGCGGTTGCGAGCTCTTAAACGAAATAATTTTTTTGATGATAGAAAATGACAACCTCGCTCAAATCATATTACCTCAATTCAAGAGGCGTAAGAGTTTATCTGTGACACCATGTATTTTTTTTTTTAATATTTACTCGTATTTAAAAAACTATTGTATACTGCTGTCACCGCCCGACTTCGGGCTTATCCGTGAGCTGTTGCGGTGCTACTCGTCTTTGCTACTCGTCTACTTGTGCACAGTATTTACTTATCTACCAGCACTCTTTAGACTTTAAACTGCTAGCATCTGCATATTTTACCAACATTACTACATAAAACACGGTGAAGTGCGGCGCGAACAGGTGCAGTGGAAACAGCCCTGTAGCTGTACAATCAAATTGGGATGGATTTACCAGCGCAAACATAAGGCACTGCACCTTGGTGTAGCCTCGTGGCCACATCGACTAATATATGCAGGTGGGTTTAGATAAAACATTTAGCTAAAGATTAGGGAACGACTTTTTTCACACCACTTAACGATGACTGTCTGCCATTTTTAGCGCCGGCAAATTTTATTTTTTGTTACTGCAAAGCACAATACAACTTAAAAAAAGCTCTTTTCTAATACTACGTTGTTTTACTTCTGCGATAATATTATAATAAAAAAGTTATAGTATTTTAAACATTAAAACCACATTAAATGTGGTTTTAATACTACACTACTACTCTTTAAATAATTTTGGTTTGATTTTTCTTACCTCAACTGAGATTTGTTTTTTTTCAAACCAGAGATTAATAAAGAAAGAAAAAAAGAAGGAAACAAGCGCAGGTCGGAACAATCACAACGTGAGTATGACTCCTCTTCATTTTAAGGATCCGACGCTCACTAGATAGATGCAAACAATCTCAATTAGAAAATCGTCTAAGCCGACAGAGCGGGGATGGCCTGAGGGTCCGTGTTGAACATCTCGTTCGGGTCGTACTCCGTCTTGATCTTCTGCAGCTTCTCGAAGTTACCGCCACCATACAGGTACTCGGCCATCTCCGGCACCGTCCACTTCTCGTCACGGTACGTCGTGAAACCACCGGGTACACCACCCGAAGCCTTGTAAGCGTCCACAAACTTGTAGAAACCCTCACGCATGGTCGTCATCGTGCTGTCCGCGAACGAAACGTTGAAGGCAGACGAGCGCATGTCCCAACGAACCAGGTGCAGGTTGTCATCGTGCTTCCAGGCTGAAGCGTCAGCCTTCACACCCTTCGCGTACTTGCCACCCCAGATGTCCACGAAGCCAGAGGCCGATGCGTCCGGAAGCTTAGGAGAGAAGGCAGTGTTGGAGAACAGCTCCCAGGCCGTGGCGTTGTTTAGCGGGGTCTTACGGGGAATCGTCACTGAGGTAATGTAGAAGTAGCGACGCGGGGTGAGCGTCTCCTTAAAGAGGCCTGGGGTCGTAATGTCCTCAGAAGTCCAGAAATCGTTTTCCTCGATCGTGAGAATCATTGAAGAAGGCAAGTTCTTCATGAGCGAACCCAGCACAGTCTTGGCCTCGGCGCCCCCGCCATAGAAGAAACCCTGCAGAGCAGACTTGGTCTTAAGGCTGAAGCGGATGGACACAAGATCGTTGTTGTCCTTGCCCAGAGCCCACGTCTGCGTACCGACAAGCGCGTCAACATTGTCCTGCTGCGTCGGCTTGTAGCTCGAGTTGAACTCGATGGTGTAGTTCGTCACACGCTCCGAAGGAGGCTCGTACGTCTTGATCTTGAAGTCCAAAACAACACCCAACGAGCTGGCAGCACCTCGCACACCCCAGAACAGGGCCGAGTTCTGCTTGGCATCGGCGTCAACGATGGAACCGTTGGCGAGAGCCACGCGCACAGACTCAATGTTGTCCAGGACCGTGCCGCTAGAGCGAGACAGAGTGCCGAAACCTGAAGCGGCCACACCAGTCATGCCGACATCAGGGCAACGGCCGTGAGGAAGTGTACGCTGGTGCTTGTTCCACATAAAGTTCGCAGCCTCCGAGATCATGACAGGACCACCGTACGACAGGAGCTGCGTCGATTCGTCGTACTCGAGGTGCTTCAGACCCTTCAGGTTAACAATAAGGGCACCATCGTTGCGGCCGAAGCCCATGCTGGAAAACGATCGGTTGCCACCGAGAGTAGTCACCTTAAGACCAGCCTTGGCGGCGCATTTCAGAGTGGCAGAAACCTCTTCTTCGGTCTTAGGGAAAGCGACAACGGAAGGCACGGGGCTCACACGTGAGTTCCAAGCTTCGGTGTCCACGGCCCAGGTAGAAGTGGTGGGTAGCGAGGTCTCAACGCCAGCCTTGTCGAGGCACGAACCGATGTCGGCCTGGGAAGCACCGCCAGCGACAGCACCGCCACCGGCAGCGGCAAACCCACCTTGGGCGGCGATAAGAGAACAGAGAGCGAATATCGTGCGACTAGCGCCGGAGACGGAAGCGACCATGGTTTGCCTTGTGTTTTGGAGACTTGAGTGTTAAAAGGCAAATGTGAAAGTGCGACAGTAGCTATCGCCGTTCTCGTTGCCGTGCTTTGATGATCGAATTAATCTGCTGTGATTAAACGCCATCAATGCATCGTAATATTGTAAGGATCTTCGGAGAAAACAAAAACTACATACATGTACATGTATTAAAGTATGTACTGTACATGTATGAGCCATACACTTGTGACAAGACAAGTCTTGTCAGGCATTGGAGTATTGGCAGTGGACTCCATTATGAAGGTGCTTGACTCAAGCACAAGCCTTGAGCCACACCTTCTCCAAGCCCATGATTCAGCGTCGGTTCTTCTGCTCGGCTGCAACAAGACGAAAGGGTTACAGCACAGATTGTTTTGCCCTTCCAGCACCATTACCGGTAATACGGGTACACGGTACAGTACTGTGACGAAAAGTCAGTGCGAACAAAACCATTTTGGGGTGAGCGGTCTTATTAATAGCAACAATTAATTTCTAATCCCAGACTCAGCGTAGAGGACTTAAAGGAAGGCCGCGCAGCGGCCCCCCCCCCCCCCCCCCGAGCGCAGCGCAGTAAGCGAAAAGAGGGGCGGGCCCACGTCAATAAGCGAGTGCCCTACCTTTACTCTAATTTAAGAGTACTATAATATCTGTACACGTTTAAAAGTCGATGCTATGTTACCTCAGTAGGGCAAAATAACGAATACCAAACTGAAAAGGCTCCTGCAAAACACAATCGTCGGTTTGGGGTGCCAGCAAAAACCAAAAAGGGCGCCACCAAAATACAGGTGCACGCAGTTGAACTGTATGGATACCCGCATTATTGTAATACAATATATTACTACTATTATTAATAATATTTTACTGCAACTTTTATTAAGATAAAATGCGGAGCTACCGTCAATTTCCCATTTGCTTAATTAAATATCAATAGCAACAATAGTATAACTTGTTGTTAGCGATCGGTAATAGTTAGCTCTACGTGGGCGATGTATTACCTTCACGGATGCATTTTAACCTGACCTAATAGTCGACTTATATGTATCTCGTATCCCGGATGCATATTAACTCGACCCGGTCGACTTATTTTGCATCCCCGATGAAGGTTAACTCAACCAGTCGACTTTTCTTGCATCCCCGACAAAGGTTAACTCAACCAGTCGACTTATCTCGAATCTTGCTCTGACAAACTTGGTCTGCTCGTGCTTTGGCGATGTTCATTACACTGTACAGTCTGCTATCTAGCAAACGCTTACGACCGAGGAAAGCGTAGATCATTTTTTACGGCTAGCTATTTATCGGGTCGGATACTGGTAAGGCATGATGAAGAGGTCAGGTGCACTATCCGACCTCATTACAAGGTCTGACCAAACACCAGACCATACAAAGAAAGCAAATGTATTGAAGCTAGAAGCATCATGCAAATATGAATGGTTGACCGTCTTGTGACTCCTACCACACTTAGACAACTGCTGATGTCACCTCATTCTCAGCATATTCGCCTGCATCGGTTGGAGCGCCGCAATCGCTGCTGCTATCAGCACCACTGTCGGAGTCCTGCATTGCTTCGTCATCTTTGTCGGAGTTGGAGTCGTCAGACTCCATCGGCAGCTCAACCGCCCTCGGCAACTTATCGTCCCACGTTGTTGTCCACGAGCACGTCTACCTCGTACAGCAGCTAGTAAAGCAACATGCTCTCGCGCGAGGGCCTCGATTGTGGCCACAAAAATCGCCATACTGAGGTGAGGTGTCGAAAAGGCAGCGTTAAGCTCCCTATTAAAGCACTCTAATGGGTTGTTCGTGCGAGCAATAAGCTGTTCCGTTAGCCCATGCACATTCCAAGCTACAGGGTCATAGATCGCAAACCAAGTGCGCTTAAGGTAACGCCAAAAACATACTCCACCTTGATTGGTTGTAGGAAACACCAGCATTTCTGCAGCGTTCCTTAGCTTGATACTTCACCCACCGGATACCAGCACCGTCAAGCTGTTCGATAGGAAGAATAGTAAGCATGTCCAAAACGCCCATTGTCATCGCTTCACTAGCCGGTCGGTTTGATATACCGATTTTTCGTATTTTCCTGTGGACAGCTTGCTTAAAGTGAAATAAGCAGCCGATGATATCGGCGTTGAGGAAATGATTTCCGACAGAGTCGATATGGGCTCGTTCGAAGTCGCAGACAATTTCAGTGGGCTCGAGTTGGTGATCAGCTGCTTGCCGAATGAAATGGAACATGGAGTTGTACGTATCCCAGGTTCGGCTGATTGTTAACACGTGAACCACAGGCACATACTTGCCGCACGACCTGTCGTGTACCATGACTACGACGCATTGTTGGAGCTAGCGCGGCACACACCGGAAGGTGCCGTCGACAAAGAGTGACGTGCCCGCACATTTTCAACAGTGCGATCAGCTCGGGGTGTGCCCACCCGATAGTTCTGCTTGGTTACTCGCTGTCATTGAAACTACTGATATAGGAAAAAGTTTAATGGTCGATCACTGACACGTGACAAGGGAGGCACCTCAATGTGACCCGTGTATATTTCCCACCAAAGTGGCGATTTTCGTATACGGTGCACTCGACTTAACACCTGCTCTCGCGTGAGTCCAATTAAAGCCTGGTTCGGGTCTTCACCATAGAATTGCTCGTTGACTCGAGACCATATAGACTCAGCAGACAAAGCAACATTGCTGCAAGAAAGTTCGTCAACTGCAGCACGCATTGGTTCCAATATATTCTCTGTTGGGGCTGCGACGATGTGATCGTCTTGGTAAGTATTCTGGATAAAGTTTCCGTATTCCATCGAGACAATCAAGAACTTAGCTTTATTCATGATCCAGTAGCTACACCGATATACTATTTTCTAGCGTGACAATCACGCATGTGTATACTGGCACCCGCCGATGTTTATAGAGCTTGTGTTGCGTTCGTGTCGAGTAGCAGCAGTGTGAGACAATCGCGTTGGTATTTGACTGTCCTGCTCACGCCGCACTAGCTGGGGAGGTGTTGCTCGCTGCTGGTTGAGGCGGGTCGTTGCTGGAGTGGCTGTGAGGTGGCGTGGAGATAGCGCATTGCGCTGGTTCCGCGGGCTCCGGGTCGGCGAAAGCCATGACGCCCCGACGAGTTGTTTGAGCTCGTTGCTTCTCGAGCTAACTTGAAAATCTGAAATGGCAAGAACGGACGTTGGTAAGCTGATGGGGGTTACCAGCTTTACGATGTTATAATAAAACTTGATGTGGATGCATCTCGTATGCAGGATAACTCAACCCGGTCTGATGCAGACTAACTCGACCAGCCGACTTATCTCGCATCCTAAATGCAGGTTAGCTCGACCGGCCGACTTATCTCGAATCCCAAATGCAGGCTAACTCGACTGGCCGACTTGTCTCGCATCCCAAATGCAAATTAACTCGACTTGTATTGGAGACTTGATTTCAAGCTAATTCATGCACTACTTCGCCGTTTGCCGTTTGATAGTTCTTGACCAACATACATATCGCTCACTCCCTGAACGAGTTTCATTGCACTATTACTGGGGTAGCCGATGCGAGATCCAGATCGTGTTAAAGTCAGTGTACCGTTATGACATGGATTCCAGAATGCAAATGGGCACTAGGAAATGTATTCTGGCTACACGAGTAAAAGGGCAATATTTCTTGTTCGTTATTCGACGAGCGTGTAGTGCAAGAATGGACATCAACGTTTAATTACTATCGATAGATGATATTATCAGGAGATCCCGCACTTAGCAGAGATGGTATTTCTGCTCAGTGCTCAGAGAAACGCGACAAGTTGTGTTAGTCAGACGCGTATCGACCAAAAGTCTAGATGCGGTTAGTGGCGAGCGACCGGATGCGAGGTAGTCGACTAACATAGCAAGTGTATAGCGACAGCCATGATCCTTGCAAGTTTTCGCGTGTAGAGCTACCTCAATTTATCCTACTGGGTGCTTGTGTGTATGCATGTTGATGAATGTGGGCGGCGTGCCGGGTTCCGCAATCGGTTTGATAGATGCAGAAAACTACCAAAGATTCCGAAGAGTGCATTAATAAAAATTGTTCTAAAATGAACGTTTTCTCATGTGTGTGGTTGCAAGCATGATTTTTTACATGCCTGGACGGTGGTCCCCCATAGACAAACTGAGCTCTGGTGAGTGGTGTATTCAATAGGATTTGGGCTAGCGAAAGGGATAACATGTAACAGTGCAAGGTGCGTTTAAAAAAACATTTCTCATGAACAAACGTGGGATTTACAATAGTAAGGTTTGTGTTTTGCTACGTCCAATTAATAATTGAATCATGCTGCATGTGCGCTGATCACCTCATGTGAAATTTATCTCCCTTGAGGCAATTGCATGATGCAGCTAGGTAAACCTGAGATTACAATTCACCATTCATCACTCTATTCATTGGCATAGACTGAGTATGGTTTTCGAGGATGAAAAAACGCGCACCTTTGATTATAAGAACAAAAGTGTATGGTTTGTATTTGTAGTCACTACGATATGACTTTATTAAACGTGTTAATGCCCTGAGCTTAACCAGCAAAACCGTGTTGACGAGGGACTACAGCTAAACAGTTTAGTAAAGATGAGACTGGTTAACAGATTTAATATTATACACTGGAAAGTGTTTCTAAGTAAGCGTTTCAAAAATGTGGTGTCTGTTGATGATCTTTATTTCGAAGTGGAGGGTATTTTCACATCCGAATCCCTTCCATGGTGGCCAAACCGTCTACGCTCAGCTCAGCTGCATCCTTTGTGTTCTCAATGTAGGTCTTATGATCTCCAGTTCCGCAATTGTATGCAGTCAGCGAACACATCGTTCCCACATGTACTCCACTGGTGGATGGACTACAATATAAATTACTGGAACGGATACGGAGGGCATCGCCGGTATTGTATTGTCCCTCCGAGCTACAGGTAACTTATGCATTTGTCTAGCTAGATTAACCCTGGTAAACCACTCTCTGGATCTGGGTCGAGCAACGCGCCAGTGGCTAAAACTCGCTCGGCCCTATCGGGTTAATGCTCAGGAAGGTCTGGGTTTAGGAGGGTGATTATCACCGTGATAGGATAGAAGAAGTCCTCCACTTTTAACGATTTGCAGTCTCATGACACCCATTCCTGAGGAATAATTGACACAAGGGGAGGAATTTTCTCCCCTTGTGTCAATACCGGTATTTTAATAGTCTCTGCTACAATCTTCAAGCAGATGTTTTGAGCTAACATTTCTGAACCTCAATGACGCGCGATATATGTACAGTGTTTTATTAAAAATAGCAGCTGGCAAAAATTGACGACCACCTGGTTTGTGAAATCGTCACCGTGAATGGCATCGGTGTTGTCGAAGGGTATTATAGTAAGGTACATTTGTAATACAGGACATCCATCCACACGAATTGTTCCATGTAAGCAAATGGCGGATTAACGGAGACAAGCTGGGGTCCGAATCGCGAAATGTCAGGTGGGTCTACTACATATTTTTAACTTCAAATTGGCAAATTCGTAGTTTAATGTATAAAACTAGTAATCGAAGTGACTACATGTAACTACATGTAAATAGAAAAGATCAGTTGAGTGAACGGCTCTTCCTCCGTTTTCGTTTTCTTCTTTGAGTGTCCCTTATATCAAGATAAGTCAAAAGTATAGTCAGCGGCGCTGAGCGCTACAATCAAAACGGTACGAAACAGTTCTCTTCTAAACTTACAAAACGGCTGCTGACTTCGCATTCTTTTTAAAATTAACCCCTCCAGCCGTGCAAACCGGCTTGGTACATACCAATACTTACAGTTTTTAATATATAATTTATCAATAAATCAAACGATCACTAAATCACCAAATCGAATTATTTTAAAATGATTCGATCTGTGTAAAAATGATATTTAATGCTGAATCGGTGACCAGCGAAATAATAATATGTATAATATTAATATGTACTTAGGAGTGTTACAGGACACTGGTACTGAGTGAATCAGATACATGCAGCTTAAGCTAGCGATTGAATCCTCCTTGTATTATTAATAGAGGGATCTGCATCCGCGTTGACTGAAACTTGGAGGGCCGTAAAGCAGCTTCTGTAGTCAATGTGGATCTGATATGAAGGAAGGATGGCGACATCGAGCTGTTCATACCCAAGATGGGCGGTATTCGCTTATAGCAGAGTTGGGTTAAACTAGCTTTTCATGTAGAGCGGAATGCACGTGATGCAAGGTCGCCGGTGATATGTAATTGACCCATATGCTTAATCGAGTCATTTTCCCTTTTCTTCCGACGTCTAGTCGTAAGTATGGTGAAAATGAAAGTCACTGGACAGAAGGAGGAAGCGCCTTACCGTAAACATTGATACTGATCGGCGGATAGATGTACCAATATGCGAATGAGATAGAGAGTCCACTGTATTTCTAAGAGCTCCTTTCATACTCTAGTACAGATCATCATATTATGTTTAAAGGCCACGACGTCTTCTGTCTATACAGCTCACTCGCACAAAGCTCCATTTTACCTGAGCGTGTCATGCTTGTTTAAGTGTCTATAACTTCGGTTCAATGCTGGCGATTGTTCGTTTTTTTCATTATTTGGCGCCATGGTATCACATTTGTCAATTTTAAAATCGGTTCGCATTAAGTGGAACCGATCCCCGAGAAGCGGAGTTTTTATTTTATCTTAATCCTACCACATACCAAGAATGAAAATGCTGTCCGTAACGGAACTTCCGTTGGTCGCACACTCTTTCGTCAAATTGCTGGTGTGAAAAACATGTTTCAAAAACCCAGACAGGAACGGAGCTGTCATGCTGTCCATAGATATCCCTACAATCACGCGATTGCTGGATCACATACGATGATTATGTTGGACTGCTTTGCTCGCACTTTGGGTCTGGACAAGGAAAGTTGGAATGCCACGATAATCACTTCCTCTTTTGCCTCCAAGCACTCAAGTCTTCAACCTCGACTTCCAGTTACAAGGTCAAAGCATGGTTGCTTCGGTCTCCGGCGCTAGTCGCGCAATCTTCGCTCTCTGCTCTCTCATTGCCGCCCAGGGCGGGTTTGCTGCTGCTGGCGGTACCCAGGTCGAAATCGGTTCGTGCCTCGAAAAGGCTGGCATTGAGACCTCGTTGCCCACCACTTCTACCTGGGCCGTGGACACCGAGGCTTGGAACTCGCGTGTAAGCCCCGTGCCTTCTGTTGTCGCCTTCCCCAAGTCGGAGGAGGAGGTCTCGGCTGCCCTGACATGCGCTGCTGATGCTGGTCTTAAGGTGACTACTCTTGGTGGGAACCGTTCGTTCTCGAGCATGGGTTTCGGCCGCGACGACGGTGCTCTCGTTATGAGCTTAAAGTACTTGAAGCACCTCAAGTATGACGAGAAAACCAAGCTACTGTCGTACGGCGGTCCCGTCATGATCTCGGAAGCTGCGAACTACATGTGGAGCAACTTCAGCCGCACTCTTCCTCATGGTCGTTGCCCCGACGTTGGCATGACTGGAGTTGCCGCGTCTGGTTTCGGTACTCTGTCTCGTGCTAGCGGTACCGTGCTGGACAACATCGCTTCCGTCCGTGTGGCCCTCGCCAACGGCTCCATCGTCGACGCCGATGCCAAGCAGAACACCAACCTATTCTGGGGCGTGCGTGGTGCCGCCAGCTCTCTTGGTGTGGTGCTTGACTTCAAGATTAAGACGTACGACCCCCCCTCGCAGCGTGTGGTCAACTACACCATCGAATTTAACTCAAGCGTCAAGCCCACTCAGCAGGACAACGTGGAAGCGCTCATTGGAACGCAGAAATGGGCTTTAAGCAAGGATAACAACGATCTGGTCTCTATCCGCTTTAGTCTCAAGACCAAGTCTACTCTGCAGGGTTTCTTCTACGGCCCATCCAAGAAGGCCACGAAGGTGTTTGCCTCGCTCATGAAAAACCTTCCCCCTTCGATGGTTCTGACCACAAATGAGAGCGACTTCTGGACTTCGGAGACGATCTCGACTCCTGGTGTTGTGGCACAGACGCTCACCCCGCGTCGTTTCTTTTACATTACCTCAGTGACGATTCCCCGTAAGACCCCGCTAAACAACGCCACGGCCTGGGAGCTGTTCTCCAACACTGCCTTCTCTCCTAAACTTCCGGACGCCTCGGCCTCTGGCTTCGTGGACATCTGGGGTGGCAAGTACGCGAAGGGTGTGAAGGCTGACGCTTCAGCCTGGAAGCACGATGACAACCTGCACCTGGTTCGTTGGGACATGCGCTCGTCTGCCTTCAACGTTTCGTTCGCGGACAGCACGATGACGACCATGCGTGAGGGTTTCTACAAGTTTGTGGACGCTTACAAGGCTTCGGGTGGTGTACCCGGTGGTTTCACGACGTACCGTGACGAGAAGTGGACGGTGCCGGAGATGGCCGAGTACCTGTATGGTGGCGGTAACTTCGCGAAGCTGCAGAAGATCAAGACGGAGTACGACCCGAACGAGATGTTCAACACGGACCCTCAGGCCATCCCCGCTCTGGCGGCTTAAAGAAGCTTCGATCAACAGAAAGGCTTTTGACTTACGAAATAGATGTGATACGATCGTTGTGAAATTATTCCATTGCCTTCACAGCCGTGTAACCATGAAGTAATACCGGTACATGTTGAATGCTTTAAGTAGTACGTATTTTGCTCAATTCTTTGGGGTCAAACGAACAAATACATTACTGAAAGGTCTGACCGAAAAGGGATGAGGAGAGGTGGGTCTTTCTTGTCTGCTTACAGCTTGCTCTTCTAAAAGTGAAGTGAACGCCACGTGTGCAGGAATTAATAGCATTTTCCAACATAACTATTTGCAGTGATACTACTACTACTATTTTGATAATACTAATACTAATACTACTGCCGTGCCGACTGGTATTTACTATGAGTATTAGTATCACTCGCTGAAGGCGGTGCTATAGCTCTTTAGAGTACTACTATTCCAAGAACCCCGATTGAACAAGTCCAACCTTCAATCTGTAATTACTCAATGGTTGGTCCCCGCTCATCATTCATAGAAGATCGTTATACTCCAAAACGCGTCGTACAGCACACGGAGAAGATCGATAGCATCGTCGGAGCGCATCGACAAAGGGCTGTGCGGTGAGGGGCTGCCCAGAAGGCGACAAACTGAAGCCAGATCCCTTCATGGTGTGTGGTAAAGCAGGCGGCTTTACCAGGCGGCTTTACCACACACCGTGTAGGGGTCTGGCTTCAGTCATCACATGGGTGCCATCGGAGTGTTTGAAGGCAAGGACAGCGCACTAACGAGAGGTAATTCAGTTCTGTGCTCTGACATTAAGTATTTGTTACTCACTACAATGTATGCATTGCTTAAAATTATGCTGTCTTGTGTGTTTAAGGCAGGTTTGTGAGATGCCTGAGGACATCTGATGGTTGACAAACACGTAAGCGAGCACTCGCGGATGCCATGGCCGTGACACTGCAGTGTCGCGGCTTCACTTGGTGTCGGTCAAAAAGCCGGTTACCGATCCGTCGCACGGAGGCGTGCGATCCAGGAGCCCGCTGGACTCTGGAAACGGCTAACGACGAGAGGGCGCAGCCTCCTTCCGTCGCTGTACTGCGTACGGGCAGCGGTGGTTACAACTGCCAGCAGTATTCAGCTGCAAGCAGCATCTATCATGAAACAAGCACAGTTAGCAATAGCAGCAGCTAATAACTCCTCAAATACCAAACAAGGGTCCCCAGACGGCTGTGTGCCCTGCCGCCGTGCAGTGCTCACCTCACTTCTGGTCTTACCAGCTTTAGAGAAGTTCCTCAGCACCGCCGCCGTCGTGGTCGTTCTTGCCTGGGATTTTGCCTGGCAACTGTGCATTTGCGTCCTCGTCCTTCCCGTCTTCCTCCTCCTTCCTCACAACAAGCGCTCTAAGGGTCTCCTGAACGCAACCAACAGCCTTTAGCGCCTTTAAAGGTCTACCCTACGGAGGGTTCTAATACACACGCTGAGAGCGGCACTACCGCGCCAACCACGGCTTCTATGCTTTAAAGAGGTCATTTTCAAATATCTGGACCGGCTCGATTCTGACTTCGTGTTGTCGCCGAACACTACAGAAAAGAAGCGTACTGCCCCTGTCCACGCTGCAAAGTACCAGCAGTCGGGCAAACAGTAGACGAAGCTGGGGGTACGACACCATTGCTAAGACGAAAGTAAAGCCTGTTGCAAACGATGCCGGAGCTCTAGACCAAGATCCTCCCACGCCCGTGTCCGAACTTGGTGTTCCAATCCCTGCCAGGCATGCTCGGAAAGCTGGGACGACTGACAGAGTTTGGGACTTGATTCACCACTTCAACGAGCTATACCAGAACAATCCCTTGCAACCATCGAGAAATGTTTACCGCAATCTGTGCCTACTGTGCTGTGATGTGATCAAGGCACGCGCGAAAACGACTCGCTACAGCTGGGTATAGGCGCTGCGAAGCACATAAAAAGCTTCAAGCGCGAAGGGTCACATCAAGCCTAGTGCATGCCCCGGATAATGGGAAAACGTCAGAACGTGTATCATCCTGAAACGTTTTGTCAGTATGTGTGAAACGTGTGTCAATAAGTGTATGGGCTGCCATCGGTATTGACAGTATGTGACAGTCTCAAAACAAACGCCAACAGGTGTATGAAAGTGAGGTTTGTGTGTCAAAATGTGTAGCTGGCAACCGTTTGGACGTGTACACACACTTTCAGCCGTGTTATAAAGTGTCGGTGTATGTCAATGCATTTCACGCTAAAGCTGTCTTTATACCGATAGAATCAGACATCACTCAGAGTTCCGAATGGCTACCTGCAGTTTTTACAAAGAAACCGGGACGCCCCAAGACGAAGCGCATAAGAAATGTTGGAGAAAACGGGAATAGATCTTCACAGAGCTGCTCAAGTTGCCATCGGAAAGGCCACAACAAGCGTTCATGCACGCAATCGGATGGCACATAACACATTCAAAAAGAGTGTCCCTCAGTCGCTATAGAGCAACAAAGAAGTCAATTTCGTGTTTTTTTTGTTTTGTTTGAACATTAAGAAGGTCACTCAGCTCCGGGTTTTTTATTAGTGTCCCTCATTCGAGATCGAGCAATAATGAAGTCACTTTCATGTTTTTTTGTTTTGTTTGTGCATTTAGAAAGTTACTCAATTCCGGGTTTTTGCGTTATAGTAACCCTTAAGAAGAATCGTCACTGCTAATGATAGATTCACCACAGCATCCATCCGCACCATACTGGCATTTAAACCATAATTCATCGCCATAATCAACAGTGACCTCGCTTCCAGCTCGAATATCCTCCATCGTAACGACAACCACCGTGACGAAGCGGCGGTTTTGAACCTCGTAAAATCGGCAATTTGCCGCACAGGAATGATTCATGAACCGCGTAATGTTTCCCTTGAATTTCGCCTCGATCCACAAGTTCTCCTTGCGCGACGACCGCGCGGCCAAACCGATGGTGTAGTTGCTGGTTCTTTTCTTGTCCTTACGGTAGTCGTGTGTTGTCAACACACCAGCGTACTCAGCAACAATACTTCCACTTCAATATCCTCAGACGTGAAAACAGAGTATCCAATATTTCCACGCGCTAGGTGCAGGCCACTCACAGTTCTCAGTCGATTGCCACAGTCAGATCCGTTGAGGCAGTTATTCCGAGCACAAAATATGCTACCCAGTGCATTTGGGCAACCATCCGGTCGGCAAATTGTGTCGCAGCCACACCAATCCATCGGCCCTAAATCGGGTACCAAAATGTTGTTTGGGTTCTCGGTATTGGTTATCTCCATTACATCAGAAGGCCATGGAACTACGTCATTATCTTTCTGTAGGAGCAAAATGTTCGCTTTCTCATTTTCGCCCGTCTCAGAAGCTCCGTGAGAACGTTCGCTAGACCTGCTGTCATTTTCGTCGCTGGACTCGTCCAAATAAATTATATCTGGTGTGACAGTCCAGTACACATTGTCGATTTCATCGTGACATCCGGTGTCAACGTCGTTGCATTCAGTCTTGTCATGGCTGCTTTCGTCACCACGCTCCATTAAACTGATAATCTCACGAGGCGAAATAGGCGGAGCGCAATACTCTTCGCGATATTCATTTGGCTGATGTGCTGTATTAGAGCCGCAATCACTAGCTTCATCACTCACTCTCTCTGTATCTTCATTGTCGCTAGTATCATACAAAACAATCACTTCCGGAAGGTTAGCAATATCTTTGCCAACAGAGCCTACTTCACCATGCTCTGGGGGTAAAATACCCTCTCCTACCTCCTTGGTTATATCGACAAGGTCCGTAATGAAAGAAAGTGCTTCGACTTCACGTCGGCTCTCCGCCCCAGTCTTCCCTACACGCGAAATACACGGGCCTCTGTAGCATGGCCCCCTCCAGAAGGAGGCAAACTCGCCTAGCGGCGCCGTTTTCATCACCCCACAGCGGTAAGCCCGCTTAGAATCTCGGACTGGGGTCCGCCTCTTCATGTACCGCTGTTTCCTGCTCTTCGCCTTGAAATACCCGACTTTAGATGAATGCGCAACGCGTGAGATGCGCTCTTGCTCTGCGTACAGCGGCGCAGTTCTCTTCGACAGCGCCGCAGCTCGCGCCATCTCGGCGTCCCTCATTTGCTGGAATGTGATTGTCTCGTAATTGGGCCGAGTCTTCTGTGCTGAACAATGGGTTTCGCCCTATTTATCCCCAAAACTTGTGACAGTACGTGTGCTCGGTTCAAACCTGCCGGTGACCATCACTCTGACTAGTTCTGTAACCGCTTTTGACAAACGGGTGCCCAATTGATACACGTTCTGACGTTTTCCCCCGGATAAGAGTGTAACGTCGGTATAGGAATCATAGGGATGAGTTTTATAAGAACGTGGCGGAAGCAGACGTATTACAGATGAACCCTTCGGTAGTCATATCGTCGGAAACCAACATTTTATGCCTAACTAAGGGTATTCTTGATGTGGGGTGGCTCAGCACGGTGTACCTTCGAAATGGTACATGACAGAAGCCAACCCATTTCATTCCTTACGTTTGCGGTCTCTCATTCTTCTCCTCCTCTCCAAGCTAGTGCCTCCGAGATGTCAGTCGACCCTAAGCCAACTCGCACCATGCTCACCAGTTGCTGCCTGCGAGGATACTGGATGCGAAGCCGATAATAATGATGTAGAGCTCGATTCTGCGGATATTAAGGAGCACCTCAAGTGGACTGCAAAGCTGCTTATTCGAGTAGATTCAACAGGCGTGTCGGATATAAGTGTACAGGGGCTCAGAACGATGCAGAGACCAGCTAAGCAGGAAGGAAGGGTGCAAGCAGCAAGTGTCCTTGCTTGCCTACTTCGGACGTGCTGCTCAATAGTGACTATCCCATAGTTAAGCACCTTAGACCAGTCAGTTTTGGTAGTTATGTATTTCATTTTGGGGGGAGGAGTGAAAGGCATTTCTATCTTAGGCCGATATTTTATTCTTGTCTGAGGGTTTCCACGCTACAGGGGGTTCTACTCTAAATTGCATTGCGTGGTTGGTTCAGGCTGTTTGGAGCCTTTCTAAGTACGATTCTTGGCTAAGCTAAATGTCAAGTAGCACATGTTTTACCAAGAGGCGCGATTTGCTTGTGACTTAATTTTTGAAACGGGGTACGTACCACAAGTGTACCCCTGGTTACATGAAGTGTGACACACTCCAATCTGCGACGCAGTGGATACACTGATTACCCGAGGCAGAGTTTAATCTACGGAAGGACTGGTTCAAGTCACAAGTACTTGCGAAGAAAGGATGAAGCCGCCTAGGCCTCCTCCTCCCGACCGGGGACGAGGCAACAACGCTCCCCACAATAAACAAGTGACGGGTGCAGGGAGCGCAACGAAAGGCAAGGCGGAAGCGGGCGCAGCAGGAGGAGAAGGGAGGCAAGCAGGAAGGGAAAGGAAAAAATCGAAAAAAAATTCAGAAGATCAAAGGGTCGGGAATGAAGAGGCGCCGGCCCAATGGTCGCAGGACTCGATCGTCCCAGAGACGCAGCAGTCGCAAGATGAGGATGAGGACATGACCGAGCACGTTGGGGAGGAAGTGCAGACGGTGACGCGGAACCCAATCGCACATCTAGAGCCAAATGAGACGAGGCCGATGATAACGGAGGAGATAATGCTAGAAGTCAGACGGAAAGACGATCCGGATCAGGGGCAGAGGTCAATCGAAGTCACCACTCTAATATCAACGAAGTGAACCGAGCAGCCTCAGAGCAATTGGACGCATCTCCCGTCGAAAGGGAAGGGCTACAAGTGCCACAACGCGATGAGGTTGCAGATTCAGAGCTGGAGGCCCAGGAGGGAGTCGCAGACACCCTGCCAATCCTAGAAGACGTGAGCACGGTTGAGCCTGAAGAGATGTTTATTGCGATGGTGACGATCATCAGGGCAAACTCAGGAGAACAACCTAGAGAGGAGTGGGTCACCTCTATTGCTGAACTCTATGCGATCATTCACCGTACAGTCAGTATCGAGGACGACATTGTGCCCCCCCCCCCAATAAAAAGAGATACCCAAAACTGCGAGGGGATGAGAGAGCATTGCTGTATAACCTGTTTCGTGAGCTCAATGTTGTAGACCATGGAACATTTGCAACCTGAAAAAATGCATCGTGGCAGTGACCCAAGACTTGCTAAACACCCGCTGGACATTCAAGAACATTATGTACAGCAGGATTAGTAAGGCCCGGTGGGCACGGACTCCCCCACTCAATCAGTGGGCCGAAAAGGCGAAAACAGGCACACCAGCAGCGGGGTCCAACTCATCTAGGGGCCCAGCTACAGGCGGACAGGGCGGTCACTACGACTCCTTCATGTTTAACCCCGCGTGTTTTTCAAAACCGGAAATCGCCAAGCTACAGGCGCTATGTGAACAAGCTCACGCCAATCACGGAGATTGTCAGCTAAGAGAGGCATCAGCGGACGAGTGGAAAGTGATAGTAGGCATAGCAGAGGGCACCATTGCATGCAGGCGGATGCCAGACTTCCTAAACAGCGTGTTTGATTCTCAAGAGCGACTTAGGCTTCACACCACTATCAGCAACAAGTGGAAGGCGAGTTAGTACTACAATTGAGGAGAAGAGCAAGAGTTAGACAGAGCCGGCAGCAGACTCGACTGATTAAG